GGCTATGTAAGGTAGTTAAACTGAGTATGCAGTATTGTGGACAAACTATTTAGGATCGTACTTTTGGGTGGATACGCTTTTAGATTTTTCTTATTTATTATTAAATAACTACGACAAAAAATTAAACAAAATTATAAAGTAAACTAATTAGTTGTTTTGGAACAAATTGAGAAAATAAAATTAACTTTTATCATCGAAAAAAAGTAATCGTTTTCAATTATTAGTTTCTTTAATCTCTCTTTAATCACAAAGATTTTCTGGAATTTTTATTAAAAAGACGACATTTGAAGAGTTTGAAGAAATCTGCTAACAAATTCATAGAAAATAAGAAATTCAATATACTGATGAAAAAGAAAATAATTAATTCTAACTCCGATTTAATGACAAATTTTTTTGAGAAATATGTTCCTAAACATCTAATTAGTTTACTTTAGTACTTTTACTGTATGTTTCGTCGTCGTTATTTCAAATTAAAAAAAGAACTGTTCTGAAAACGTACTCACACAAATTCATGATTTTAAACGTTGGCTTTGTGCTCAGTAATTATACATCGTGGAAACGTTTTATATGTCTCAAATGAATCCTAAAGAATTTGTCCACAACTCTGCATATTCAGTTTAACTATATACATAGCCGGTCTGTCCCTTTAAAGGGACTGAAGTGTAGTTTCAAGTGACCCTCCATGCAAAGATGACCATTCACGATTTACTGCACCGATTCAAAGTTAAAGATGAAGTTATGATTTGAATCGGTGATTCCAATTCATTGAATTCGGTCTCTGGAGCAAAACAGTTTATAATTACGAAAAATTAAATATCATATTGGAAGTAACTGCATGACAGTATGTCATGAAAAATTTCAGTTGAAACGACTGCAGTTCTAAAAAAATTAATACCAAAAATCAAGCACCTAAATCTTATATTTTAAAGTTGTAACATATAGTGGATATCGGGATTAAAGTTTAGACCTCTGAATTCATAGATTAATAACAATTCAGATAGAACACTAGAGTTCGTCTTTTCAAGATTTAAAAGATCACAATAACCCTGAGGCAGTACCCCAAAGGAGTTTCTTACATGTCGCGTTGAATGACATGACTGGGAGAGAGCATTCGCGTAACCCCTTCAAATTTCTACGAACGAAAAACCCCTAAATCTTTAAAAGTCACATCTAGTGTTTGGTCTGTATTGTTATTAATCTGTGTCTGAATTACAAGGAATGCCTGTATTCGAGTGAGAACAAAAACGAGTATGCATCATTGCAGGTAATTTTAAGTTAAAAATTGGACCCCCCCCCCCCTCTCTTCTAAATTTGACTTTAAAAATAAGAATTTTTGCCGAATTTTAGGCTAATAGGTCTAATAATCATTTCCGCAATTGTATTTAGCATTTCAGAGACCAAAAAAGGTCACAAATAAAAAAATATTTAAATCCTGTCGAAAAAGGCATCAAGATATCATGCACCTGAAGCCGGTGAATACTCAATATTTGTTTTTGTTTGGATATTTTCAATGTTGTTTGATATTTGGGTGAAACTAAACCAATTTCCCCCCCTCAAATTTGTTTAATTATAAATAGAGTTTAACAATATCAAAATTTCTGAATTCATTCAGTGTTTAGGATGACTGGATGAATGATGAATTCATATTTTATTTTTAAGGATCACTGGATGAAGGATGAATTAATATGTTAAGGATAAATGGATCAGGGATGAAGGATATATTGATTTGTTAAGAATAACGGGATGAAAGATGAATTGAATTGATTTGTTAAAACTGACTGGATAAAGGATGAAATGATTTGCTAAAGATGACTGGATGAAGGATGAATTAATATGTTAAGGATAAATGGATGAGGGATGAACGATGGATTGATTTGTTAAGGATGACCGGTTGAAGGATGAATTGAACCAGGATTTGGAGCAAGGATCGTTATTACTAGGATGTATTGTAGCTTTAGGTGAGACTAAACCTAAAATTTAAAAATTCGGAATGTGGGTAGCCATCTCTAATTTTACTCATATCGCTTTGGTTTTTTACACTTTTCGCTTATAAACTTACTTTCTTTGTTAAAACTTATTTTAATTTAAAGATTACCCTATCATTCTTATCTAAATAAAGAAATATGGATATAAAAACATGTGTGTGACTATGGCATTGTATTCTAAATGTAGAAATATGGATATAAAAACATGTGTGTGACTGTGGTACGGTTTTCCAAATATAGAAATATGGATATAAAACATGTGTGACTATGGCATGGTTTTCTAAATATAGAAATATGGATATAAAAACATGTGTGTGACTATGGCATGGTTTTCTAAATACAGAAATATGGATATAAAACATGTGTGTGACTGTGGCATGGTTTTCTAAATACAGAAATATGGATATAAAACATGTGTGTGAGAGTGGCACGGTTTTCTAAATATAGAAATATGGATATAAAAACATGTGTGTGACTGTGGTATGGTTTTCTAAATACAGAAATATGGATATAAAAACATATGTTTGACTGTGGCATGGTTTTCTAAAAACAGAAATATGGATATAAAACATGTGTGTGACTGTGGCATGGTTTTCTAAATGTAGAAATATGGATATAAAAACATGTGTGTGACTGTGGTATGGTTTTCTAAATACAGAAATATGGATATAAAAACATATGTGTGACTGTGGCATGGTTTTCTAAATACAGAAATATGGATATAAAACATGTGTGTGACTGTGGCATGGTTTTCTAAATACAGAAATATTGATATAAAACATGTGTGTGAGAGTGGCACGGTTTTCTAAATATAGAAATATGGATATAAAAACATGTGTGTGACTGTGGCACGGTTTTCTAAATATAGAAATAGGGATATAAAAACATGTGTGTGACTATGGCATGGTTTTCTTATACGTACTTTTTGCACTGTTTCAAAATCTTTACCATAACTTTAGGTCTTAGCTTCCTAAAGTAAGCTGCTGCTGAATTGAAAAAAAAACTTGTCTACATACAAGACACCTCCTGCTACAGCAGTTTAATATATATAATTAATGTCATAATGTTTATAATTCATTATCACAGCAAAATGTTTATGATTTGATTTGATTTTATTTGACATCCATCTGTTACCCCACCCCCCACCCCCCCCAAAAAAACAAAAATACTCTTAGCTCAAGAACACCTACCAAACAAAGATGTTTAAGGTACTGTTGTGAATCACACATGCCATTCGTAAATGTTAAAAGTAAAAGTTAAAGCAACAATTTTTTTAAACGTAATTAACGTTAATCTTTATGACGAGTTCTACTGTAAGTACACAGACTGAAAAATAATAAAAATGCACAAATAAATGCATTTTCAAAGCCTTGCATGAGTTGGCATTGCAAAATAGAAAGATGAGTTTGACTGCAAAAATAAACCTAATTTTATTATACTATTCACTGCAGCAAGGTTTCATGAATTCATATTTAAATGTTCTGTTAAATCCATTTCAGATTTTCAGCCTGTAAACTGTAAACTTCGGGATCTTAAACTTTTCTTTTATAATCCATTAAACTTCCATTTTATTTCTTTTCCTTGCATTGGAGAGAATTAAATAATAATAATCTTTTCAAAAAAAATTTTATATTTTTTTTTAATTCAGTCTTTCATCTTTTATACTTTGTTTGTTTGTTTGTTTGTCTGTTTTCTATATCCCCCGGCTGAACTGATCGGGTTCAAATTTTGTGTGGGACCTTGCACATAATCCCAGGGAAGGTTTATTGATGTAAAGAATTTATAAAATTTGCCTTTAAATAATTTATATTTTTCAAAATCCACGAAAAAATATCGATATCGATCCGCATATTTTGTTTGCTATATTTTATACCAAAAAGGTAAAAAAAATTTATTGACAGTAGTAAGCATGTTTCATTGCTGCAAAGAAACTTGAACTTTTTATCAAATTTAGCAAACTACTCGATATCTATACATTTCATTTATATCCTTTTAAACTTTTATTAGAGTGATGTTAGTTATAGTAAATATCTGATTATATATTCTGGAAAATTCTAAGTTAAGTGGTTTGACTTTTATAGATTATATCTGCTAACTTGGAAACAACCCCACGTTTGCCTTGAGCTTTCCTCTGAAATTAACTTGCTCAATTTTAAATTTTTCAATTAAAAACTAAGAATGTTTCTCTGGTGTTACCCAATCAAAATTTGAGACAAATCGGTCCAGGGGTTCATGAGTTATGATCGACATCAAAAACAAACATACTCAGATTATTACCTTAACTGAAATTGCACGCGCTGGCACAGAACAGTGTAGATATAATCAAATCTATCAGCAGGTCGTGATTCTAGGAACCAGTATCCTTATATTTATATATCTAGGAACCTGTATCCTAATATTTATATATCTAGGAACCTGTATCCTAATAATGTCATATCTAGGAACTTGTATCCTAATAATTTCATATCTAGGAACCTGTATCCTAATGTTTTTAAATTATAGGAACCTGTATCCTTATGTTTACTTATCTAGGAACCTGTATCCTAATGTTTATATATTATGGGAACCTGTTTCCTAATGTTTATATATCAAGGAACCTGTATCCTAATATTTATATATCTAGGAACCTGTATCCATATGTTTTCAATCTAGGAATCTGTATCCTAAAATATTAATATATCTAGGAACCTATATCCTGATTTCTAAGGTTCTGATTAGTCTAAGGGCCCTGGCTGAAAATGAAAATATTCTAATGTTAATAGAAGCAATTAAAAAGGTAAACAAAAGATCCATTCTAACTATAGAAATCAAACTTTGACAGTAAAAGTTGGATGACTGGTTGGATAATAAAAGTTGGATATCTTCGGTCCGTGTACTGCAAATTACTGCAGAAAGCACCTAGAGCTCAGTTGAGGGTAGTGCATGAAAAGAAACTGATGCTACACGTAAATTTCTTATTTTCTAATCCCTGTATCTTTACAACTTCTTGGTTGTGAAAACATTACATTTATTAAACTTTGACTGTTTGCGGATATTGTCCTAATATTTAGAGAGGAGCTTTCACAGTTTACATTACCCTTAAAACCTTTAAACCTTTAAACCTGTAAACCATTAAACCTTTAAACCTTTAAATCTTTAAACCTTTAAACCTTTAAACCTTTAAACCTTTAAACCTTTAAACCTTTAAACCTTTAAATCTTCATTAAATCAATATGATCTAGAATTTAACGTCGTATTAACTTCTCTATGGTTTCTGAAGCAAGAAATCCTCAATTCGCTTGTATAGAGAAAACACAAGAAAAACAATGATTTTTGATCATTTATTTTCAAAATACTTTGCAACAGAACTAGTAATTAAAAAAAATCAAATTTATCTTTTCTTTCTCATCCTGTAATAGTTTTTACACTTTTTATTGTTTTAATTAATTTCTTTTAATCAATCAAGGATCCAATTTATAGAAAACCAAATTTCTTAAATTTTTATGTTAAAAAAGAAAATGTATTTGACACGTTTAATATTGCTTTTTTTTACAAGTCTGTTTTCTTCCTTCATTTCGTTTAAATGTGAAATCCTTTTTAGAAATTTGGCGGATTTACTGATATTGAAAACAGGAAAATCGAAAACAACAAAAATGACACTAAAACAGGCAAAAATGAAGGTGAACGATGTTTATTATTTAAAGTTTTTTAAAGTTTGAACCAAAACTTTTTGAATTGACTAAATCCGATTTGGCCGTACTTTAAATTTCTAAATGAAAATTTGGCAGTAAAGGTGGAATGGCTATTGGCTGCCAAATAAGCGACAAAAAATCGCTAATTTGACAGCAAAAATTGGATGAATGCCAAGTAAGCAATTTTTGTTGAAAAAGAGCTATTTTTTATTTCAAAATTTAGAGCGCGGTTGCTTAATCCACTTCTTTGTACGGCCATGGGTAGGCAAAATTCCATTAAAACTTTTAATTCTAAATTTTTTAAAAACTTTAACGGGACTGTAAGCGTAATTTCAAGTTACCCTCCATGCAAAGATAGCAATACTCTATTTACAACTGTACCCTGAAAAGCTTTGTCTGATCAATTATGAATTAAAGTGTTTATAACTTTGAAAACTGATTATTCTCAAATGTGGTCATTTTTCCAAGAGTGACTTGCGCAATTCTAATGCAAAAAAGTGTATAGAATTTTTCAGAATTTAACACTTTTAATCCGAGTAAACAAAATTTTCTTTCACATTTTTGTGAACCGGGCCAATTTTGTTTACAGTTACGTTCATTGTTTTCTTCAAAGCATTTCAGCTCATTAACTTTTTGGCATTCCGCTGAATCATCGCGGATTTTCTAAATATTTTGACAAGTTTTTACTGACATTCTGGTGAATTTTTCATAAACTTTATAATTTACTTTTGAAAAGTTTAATTTTGCCTTTAACCAAACAGGTTTAGGTTCCGAACAGCGTATTCTTTTTAGATTTTTTATTTGGAGAGTTAGATAATTTCCCCGATTTATACCCCAACATCCCCAATCACTGATTTCCACATGCCGAAACAAAATCTTTGATAAAATGTACAGTTATTAGAAAATACTTTTAAAAAACATCAATGCATCCTAATTTTTAATTCACTAAAATAATCGTATATAAAGTTAAGTTTTTCAGAAGAAAATATTTTAAAAACCTCCAAAATTTGGGGTTGTGAGAATATGTTTAAATTAAATTAAAATTTCTGATGGTATTTTTTGAAATTGAACTAACAACTTTTAAAATAAAAATTTTGATTTAATTTTGATTAGAAATAAATGAAATAGGTTTTAAAAGTTGTAATTGGAGAAATAATTGACTAGCTGGAAGTTATTATTATTGTTGAAATCTGACGGACTTATATTGTAATCATTTTTATTAAACCAGCTTGCAGTTGACTTTGATGTATGAGTATTGATCACGCCAAATTAAAGTAAATTGTGCTTAAGAATGAAATCTGATATGGTTTTCAATCATAACTTTTCTAATTGAAAAACTATTGAAAAGAACAAAAATATTTTTTATTATTACCATTGAACTGGATTGATATATGCTAGGTAAAATTTAAACTCTTACAGCAGAGTCGCATAAATAGAATTTGCATTATGGAGTACGATTCTCTGTTATTTCTGAAATGATTCATTTTTCCGTATGTTATTTTTTCAGTAAGCTCTTAAAAATATTAATAGGTTTTCAAAATATTTTGCTATTTTTTAAACAAAAATGCTATAATAATTTTTATTAAAAAGTGTTTCCTGCTTTTGTAAAATTTCTAACTACAATTGTTCTTGCCACAACCTCAAATCTTATAATTCCTATATCTTTGCAATCTTGGGATGGAAGTTAAAACCTTTGATATTTTAAACGAAGACAATTTGATTTATTAGAATTCATAGTTTCAAGTAGCAAAGGATCAAGGCCTTGCGTTGCAAACATTTAGGAACATCGATTAATTAAAATAACAGATAAAACACTAAATGTCGTCTGTTTCAAGTATTATAAGTATTTGGTTCGCAATAACCACAGGCAAAATTGCCCAAAGGAGTTACGCGTAATCGGCGTAGAACAGGCTCTCTCTCTGTCTCGTCATTCTACAGAGATCGAGAGAGATCCGTTAAAAGCCGGCAAAATGGTGAATGGGTGTGAGGGGGGGGGGGGAGTAGAAACTGAACAGCTGCTCGGCAAAATGGTGAATGGGTGTGAGGGGGGGGGGGGGGAGTAGAAACTGAACAGCTGCTCGGCAAAAGTTTAGAAATTGTTTCCAACAAATTGATGATGAATTAAGTTTCTTTTTAAACCGCAAGGAATCAAGAAACTTTTATTTTCTCGATAATTCCTTCGAAAACAATTTCACAATTTTACTTTCCTGAAACTTTTATCTTCATACATGTAGAACCAGATTTTTTTCTCATAAATTCTCACATAATAAGTTATATTTTTTCTTCTACACTTTTTCAAATTTGGAGTTTTAATCTGTATTCTCTGTTTGTCTGTCTGTTTGTTCTGATATTCGATCATAACTCATAAACCCCTGGACCGATTTGTCTCAAATTATGACTGGGGAACTCGGAAGAACCAAAGAAATTTTCTTTACAGATGGAACTCCTTACAAATGACCGCACATATTTCCCGTTGTAAATGTGTACCGTGGTTTTAAAAAATTTGAATGAATATGTTGTTTCGGAGTCCCCGGACTATATTTAAAAAAAAATGTATTTTCTAAAACTGCAATCGTTCTGCAGATAAAAAGCTCTTTAAAAGTAAATCGGGCACTTAACGTCAACAAGCCAATTGTAGTAAGTCAAAAACAACATTGACCAGTATTTTAAATTAATCGAATATTTTCAGATGATGTCAATCAATCAATCAATCTTTCAGGAGTAAGCAGCGACGAGCGAAGAGAGTCGTTTAGAAAACACATAGGTCGGTTAATTTTTAAAAAGTGAAATCCAATTGCTTGTGAGTTGAGATGGACCATCGTTTAAACCAGGTCCGTAATTAAACATTCAAGTTTATTTGGCTTTAAAAGTGTTCTCTGAGATGTTTAACATATTGTATTTGGACAAAGTAAAAATATAATAAAATAAAACTAACGAGGCAAAACATTTTGAAAAGGATCAACATCTCACTGGCAGCCGTAGTACATTTGAATTTCCGAGCCGGGTCAACCTTTCCAGTCAAAGTTTGTACTGTACCTAGCTCTATGGACAGGACTAGCCGGTGCAACAAGGTTGACGCGGTCAGACTTTATGCTTCATATAGGCTGAATTTTCTTTTACTAAAGGGGCAGAGGTGTGTGATCTTAGATTGAACCCTATTAAAAGTTAAAAACTTTGAAATTTGGATCCGAAAACGATTCCATCAAGGCTCTTGTGAGTGAAAATATGATAGTAAAAATTGTAAACGAAGCAGGGGCGGATACAAGGGGGGGGCGGGGGGACATTCGCCCCCCCCCCTGAGATTTTGAGGCAAAAAATGTTCTCAATTTGATAAATGTTATTGTTAACGATAAATTTAGAATTAAAAATTTGTAAGAAACTAGACTTAAGTTATAATATTGTTCATATCTAGTAATGTTTCTTAATCAATACTCATTTATCAAAATTGTAATATTGTGCCTAATTTTCATGCATTTAAGTATAACTAGTAATTTTTTTTTGTTCTTAAATTGCTAACGTTCCTATTATTGTTCCTGTTCCTGTGTCCGAACCACCTTAAATCCCTGTCCTAATCCTATTTTTTTCCTAATTCCTGAACAATCTTTTTATTGTTCCTAAATCCCTGTCCGAATCCTTTAATTTTGTTCCTAATTCCTGAACAATCTTTTAATTGTTCCTAAATTCCTGTCCTAATCCTTTAATTTTGTTCCTAAAATTAAAAAATCTGGTTTTTTAGTCTTTAGTCATTAATTTTGACACTTTTTGAGTCTTTTAAGTCAAAAAAATTTTCGCCTGCGCCACGATTTTTTGTTCCTAATTATTCATTTTTTTGTTCCTAAAAAATGTTGCCCCCCCCCCCCTCACTTAAATCCTGTATCCGAAGATTTGCTTTATAATTTTGAACATTGTTGTAGTCGCATATATCGCCATTAATTTAGTATATCGATAAATTCAATTTATCTTTTAGAAAATATTTATAAGAAATATAAAAATGTCCAGACCTGGGAACTTTTTCATGGTGGATATCGGGATTTATGCTTGATCCACTCTTTTTCTTAATCTCGAGAATAAATAACACTTGTTTTCCTCTTTTTATTAATCTCCAGATTACTTAACCGATCGGGATTAAGGATATCCCATTCTAAAGTTTTCAGCTCAGGAGAGCTAAAAAAAGCTTAAGATTGCAAGGATCTGAGTCAATCTGAGTCATTTAACCCGAAATAAGTAATTTTGAACTCAAGTTTTGTTAACACTTTTTAACACTTTTTAACACTTTTTAACACTTTTTAACACTTTTTACGCGTATTTTAAAGTTTTTTTGTATTTCAGGATTTTGAGTGTGAAAAACAACAAAAGAGTTTCGAATAAAGTCAAATACTAGGATGAATAAAAATCTTTTGTCATATTTTGACTAAATATAAACGTTTCAATCTTTACAATACTAAAAAGAGTGTGCTAAAAGGTGAGAAAGAAGAAGTAAAATATTATTCCAATAAAAAAATTTGTAATTTTTTTAGAGAGAAACTTAATTTTTAGTTAATCGAGTAATTAAGTGTTATCCATTTTCTATTCACGGTAAAAAAAATGGTTAAACTGAGCAATTGTATATTATTCATATACAAATTATCGTTTTTTAGGGAAAAAAAACAAAAGCTCTCGAACAATGACAAATATATTTACTTTACTTTCATTTGTAACGCTCTTGAAAATAAAAAAAACGTTCAAATAATCAAACAATAAGCTACAAAAATCTAACAAAAACTTGAATAACTTTGCAACCTTTTGGGATATCTAAGGTTTACAACAAAAGGTTGCACCTAGATATAATGTTAAGAAAATTAGAGTTTGTGACAAGGACAAGAATAAAACAATTTTTTTACATTTTTAAAAAATTTTATGAGAAACTTGTAGTTAATGCCAGTCAAGATAAATCAAAAAACTTTCCGATTTGAAAAAATAATAAAAAAGTTTTCATTTTTATAAAAAAGAACTTTTGCCAAATTTATCTCTTTTCCCCAAGTTTTCAATAAAAAAACAATTACATAGAATTTGTGCAAAGTAAACAATAAAGGAAGAAAATGATCTGAAAGTATGTTTGCTCAGATTTTCCCCACAATAAGTGCACACTGCACACCAACTATTTTTAAAGGGACCGTGCACGTTATTTTAACTGACTCTTCAATTACAAAGTAGTTTGTAGTTTGTCTAATCTTTGATTCTCTGTAACAATTGGAAAAATATCGCCATCTTAAAAAGTTCAAACGATGCCAATTTTTACTCTAATGTATTGTTCTGCAAGTCACTTTTGAATTTAATTTGA